AATTTTGCCAACATTGCGGTTACAAACAACAATAAGACTTATCGAATTGATTTAACTACTCAGGTCAGGTCACCCTGCTTCTAAAATACATTTAATCCAATAAAACTTGCTTTATATAGAGCAAGTAAAGACTCTCTTTGAAAACGTTTTCTTTGCCGTTAGTACATGTTACCTGAGTTAAGTGTTTGTTACCTTCCGATACGACTTACTGTACAATGAACGCTAACGTTAAGTCAATCCTGCATATTACAACTGTATTTAGAGTGTGCGACCATTCAAATTAAGAAAAGCCTAGTAACTAATTAAAACTACTTCATAAACGAAAGCGAAACGACGTTGAATGTTGAACGTTGAACATTGAACTTTCGCAATTATTTCACCATCTTGATATAATTTTCTAAATCTTATTTATAAGTTTTTTATACAAGTGGTTTTCTGTGGGGTCAAGGTATTAGAAGTTTTTAATGTACCTTTTTAACAGAAGCTGTCGAATTGCATTTATTTATTTTAAAACGCGGCTGTTTTACGCAAAGTAAAACTGGGCATTACGTCACGAGTTTAGCAAAAACAATTTCCGCATAAAGAGTTTTTTATAAATTTCGTATAAAAATTCAATAACTTTAAAGTAGTGGGTTTTTTTTTCTATAAACGCTTTTGTGTTCTAATAAAAAAAAAATGAAACATCTATCTTTCCTTGTTAAATAAGTATTCTGATTAAACTGAATCAAAATAAAAGTTGTAAAAATTTTGCTAATGGTTTGGGATCACTTTTCTGTTTTTTGCGTATTTCAATGAAAACCTGTCTTGGACCAATCAAGATTAGATTTATTTTTAAGCTACATGCTTGATGATTGAAATTTTACATACTTATAAACGAATGTCTATTTTATTAAATTGTTGGAGGGCATAGATAAAAAAAATAGTTTAAGTTAGTTTTTTTAGCATTATTCTTTTTGTTTTTACTTTTTTTATATGAAAAACGTTCAATTTTTGTTATGCCCTCCAAATTATTGAAATTGCAACCCTTAATGCACATGAAAATCAAAAAAATTACTTTCTGTACTTCTAACTAAAACGTTTTCAACCTTGGCAAATTTTTATTCTTTTAGCAACAAAATTTGTAGTTACATGCGTAAAATTTTTGTTTTCTTTTTTAAAGCAATGATGTAACTTTAAATGCGTTACTTCCCAAATTCACTATTTAATAAAATTTACTAAAACAGCTTTTTTAGCGAGACAAACTTTAGTATAAATAAAACAAACTTTTGGCGGGTTTTTTTTCTCGTGGCTAACCTACAAACATCAGTTAAGCTGTTTAATCCTTTGATATCTATTGCATACTTGTTATTTGACAAAAATTATTATTTGATTTTATTTGTTTGTATTAGATTTTTATTGAAAAGTTTATTTATCACTATGCGTTCTAGTGAGATATTAATACTATACATTGGATGGGAAAATGGCTGGGAAAATAAATGTAACTTTTCTTTTATTAAGCGATTAATCAACGCTGATAAAATCACTAATAACGTGATTTTAATTTTACTTAAAGTCTTTCCATCTAAAACATTGTTTAAATTTATAAGTTTTATTATGCCAATTGAGTTTAATTTGCCTCAGAATCGTAAGATCTGTGGTTCAAACCCCACCTCTGGGCACCTTAATCAACCTAAAAAAAAAAAATTATTGAAGACTTTGAAAAAATGTGCAAAAAATTATTAAGACAAAAAAAAGATTCTATAAAAATTTATGAAGCTTCTAAAAACGAATTCAGTCGTCCCAATTCACACTAAAAGGCAAAAAAATTAAGTTGTTCTTAGGTGGAGATTTTCATTTCATCGATGATGTTCTGGGACACCAGGGTTTAGCTGCTAGCTTTTCTAGTTATACAGACCTAGTTGAATTAAATTCTCTAAGAAGCCATGGCTCTATGCCTCACACACCTGCTAATTGCAGCATCATAAAGAGAACAATAAAATCTCTAGAAGGTGCTTACAATGAGAATTTGTGTGAAAATAGACAAGGTGGAAACCTAAGAGCTTTAGGTAAGTTTCATCATTCAGTTGTTTCTCCTGTGATTTTCCCCATAATATCTTTAGATAATGTAGTGCCTCCTGTTTTGCATATTATGTTAGGAGTAGTGTTAAAACTGTTTAAGTTGTTATTGAAGGAATGTAAAACTTTAGATTTAAATTTTGATTCATCTTTATCTAATAATGAAGCTGTGAAATCAAGTGAAATGTGGGCCGCTAAAAGCGTTAAATTTTCTAAAACAACAGCAGCCTTGCATTTAATCGGGGAACAGTTTGTAGATATAGTAAATCTACAGGCTCGATGTAAAAAAAGTAATAAAAAGACGCTAGTAATAAAAATGATTTTTCTGAATTAGAATACATATCACTAAACTCCTCTGATAAAAAAATCAGTATTAAAAAGTCAGAAAATTGTGCTAGCATTAGGTGTTTAATTACAAAATGAGATTCTAACATCGATTGGGTGCAGTGTGGTACGTGTCAAGAGTGGTTTCATCAATATTGTGAAATTATTGGTGATTCTGAAAAGAGTGTATTGTGTGACATAAAAAATTATGCATGTTTAGCTTGTCGGGTGAAGATATAGAAGATCTTCATCTGTATATCTCAGAAAAAATTTATTTTATGCGCGTACAACGAGAAATTTTAGATTATGAGTATACACGATTGCAGATTGAATGCGCGGATTTTGAAAAAAAATCAAGAAGTGACATGGGCACTCATGAGATGGCTTTTCTGCAGGCCCTTGATGATATGAATGTTCAGCGGCAAGCTTACCATTGTAATGTATTTGTTGGTAATCATTGCAAAATAGTTTAAGAAACCACTTAAAACTTTGTAGTGTTATTGATGATTGCGGCAATTAGAAATAAATTTTTGCGTGTGTTTAGCGTTTTCTATAAGTTGCAGCCGATTCTTTTTAAGAGAAAATTTCTTTCCGATGCCGAAGTTATTGAGCTATGTCAATATACAGATTTATTTGCTTGTGAGTTTCATGCTTGCTTTCCTAATGAAAGTATTACGTGAAAAATGCATGAACTCACTTTTAATGTGCCACTATTTGTTAAATCGCATAAAACTATTGGATTGCTGAATGAAGAAGAAGGAGAGAATTTGCATGGCGGCGTTAATCAGAAATTGAGACAGTTGCATTCAGTAAGAATTCAGGAACAGAAGCTTCGTCTTGTTTTAAAACGCTTTGAATTGCACAGCAAAGCTGATAGAAAGCTTCAAGCTGCTAAAGTAAGAAAGTGTGTTGTGTGTTCAGAGCATGGCAATAAATCGTTTTATAGAAAAGGTCTTTGTCTTATATGTGGCCATTAAGTTCAATTATAATATTAAAAAACTAATTGTATTTAATTAACTTCCATTCTTATCTTTAGAAATTAGTTTGAATGTGCTTCAACAGTTACATAAGCATTACAGTTTCAGTCATCATAAAGAATTTTGTCTTTCTGGTGAAAGAATGGGATACAACATAGTTCTAACTGCGTGTACAAAGAGTGTTAGTACTACCTTAAGAACAAATCATTGGACCAACTGATAACTAAAAAAATTTCTTGCTTATGAGAATCCACAAATTAAATGATTCTAATAAGTCTTAGCAGTTACACAAGAGTTTGTTTCAGTCAGATCATAAAGAAAATTTTCAATCATGAATAAACGACAACTAATACAAACCATCATATTGTTGATCATTGTTGGATGGGGCATCATTAGTTAAACCTTACTCTAGAAGAAGCATGAAGCGCCAATATTTAACATAAGAAGTCATTAAGATTATGGAGAGTATTTGCCATATGGAATGGAAATAAAACTAGTATCAATTGCATACAAAAATCGTTTACTATTTATGGAACTATAAATATATTATTTGAAAAAAAAAATTATTTATGTCAATCCACCAAAACGATATTTATCAAATTATTTAAATTGCCTATATTGTTATGTATATTTATAAAAAATGTGTTATTTTTCCACAGAAAAGTGGTTATATTGTAATATCAATCTAAATGTCAGGAAATTACTCTACGACCGAAAGCAAAAATAATTCGAAACTCTTTTTGTTCTAAATCTTTAAAAAAAAAAAAAAATTTTGCAATTTTTTTTATTTTGTCTATTGGAGTGCCTGTATCAGTTTGCATTCGGTGTAAATAATGTTAATATGTTTTATAATTGGTCTAACTATGTTTATAATACATATTAGTCAACAGAAATATAATTTTTCTGATTATTTTTGCTAAAAAGTACCTTTAAAATTTCGAAATTTCGCAAAGTTCGCCATTTTGCGCGTTTATTTAAAAATCAGAGCAGCCTTGGATTATTATATTAAATTATAAAATATAAAAAATTTAGTCAGTGTTCATATTCCTTTTACAGAACGTATTTATCTTTATTATTTCAAAAGTTATGAAAGTTTTAGTAACACCCCCTAAGTAATTGTTTTCAAAAAATAACAAGAAGCCGTATGTCCACTCTGAAACAGCCGTGAAAAGTGTTCTGGAGTAACTTGGTTGAAAGGTAGCATTCAATTTACATTAAGAATGCAAATAATAGGTCTGAGTGACATTAATGTTTCTGATGTTTGTCTCTGAGGAATATAAGGACCCTCAAAGATAAATAGGTTTTAGAGAAAACAACTAATTTTCTTTTGCTAGATTTAAATCAGATGATTATCAAGATAAAAAATGTTGTCCAAAATCTGTTGTAAATCTGTTTAAAAGCAATCAGCATTTAGTGAAGTTTATAAGGTGTAATTTTTAAAGTATTAGTAAATAAAAATAAGAAAACAAACAAACAGTAAACTATAAAATCCTTACTTATAAAATCCAACTCATTTTTAATTTATTGATTTTCAAAAATATCAATATTTTGAAAAATAATATTTTTATAATTTATTTATGTTTCGAGAAAAGCCAAGTTCAAATACCTATTAAATATGCATACATTATAATCTTACATTTTTGCTTTAGATATGGATGCACTTTTTATTGAAAAGTTAAAAAAAGTAAGAGTGGTGGGGTCAGGTGCATCTGGAACGGTAATTTACTATTTGTTGATTTGTTTCATTTTACTTATATCAAAAAAGAAATATTTTGTATTTTTAATGTTTTTATTTGTTCTATGAAACGATTTGTTTTTAAATGTGTTTGTATTGACACATTAGATTGTACATATACCGACTGTTTTATTACAACTCTCAGGTTTAGGACGGTTAAGGTCAACAATTTATAACCAACCTAATTTTACCTTGTTAAACTGTTGCAGGTCTGCTATTCAAATTTGAAACATAGGGGTTACCATAAAACATGGGACTTGGCAATTTTTTTCTGACCTTAAACACTTTTAGGTCGGCAGTTAGGTCAGAATTACTGAATGCTGACTCTAATTCTGAGTACTGTATTTAGCTATACAAAGACAGAGTATGTTGCAAAATTCTGTGCTCCCTCTCCCTTAAACAAAAAACTTGAGTTTTAAATTTTTCCTCAATCCCTTAATTTTTAATGACATAGATACATATTAATAGAAACTTTATAAAACTAGGTTAGAAAGAGTAAATGGACTATTCACATGTGTATTTGGAAAGGTACATTTTTTATTAGGTGTTTTAAGTTCTATTTTATTTCAATAATGTTATATAAAACTCATTATTAGTTTTTTTAAATTTTTTACTGTTTATGTTATTTATATTTTGGATTAGAAGAGTGTGCATGCATTGTCTGATTTATAAGGCTTATGAGGAAGTGGAGTAGTTTACAAATTTCAACCGCACCTTTACCTTTAAATAAAAAGCATAAGGTTTTTTTCTTAACCTTCTATTGTTTATGACGTATATATATGCGTATATATGTATATATATATGACTTATATATATTGTTATGACGTATATATTTTTGTGTTCGCAAATATTATTTTTTTTATTTTTTCCGTACTAAGATGTTTGAGAACATTCAAGTTTATGTATGTTTCCATGTAAGTTCGTAAAACAAATTATTTTAAAATTTAAGATAAAATGAACTTATTATTTTGCGGACAAACAAGGAAACATACAAAAACTTAAATGTTCTCAAAACGACTAAAAAATCTGGCCGGTTTTTCGCAACTAAATATTATTTCCGTAGTCAGTTATCGAGTGCGATCGCAGCCGCTGCACGACCAAGCCCGACTGAAAACAAATCTAGTGTCTGATTTCAATTTGGTTCTACTTTAGGTTTATCTTTGTACAGATGAAAATACAGGCAGAAGATTAGCTATGAAATGTATTGAGACTGGAGATATTGACAATAATGTTAATGCAAAGCAAGAATTTGAAAAAGTTCAAGATGAAATTTCACTTTTTCAAACATTAAATCATGAACGAATTGTGCACTACTATGGTTCAACCTATACTAACACAACAGTCTCTATTGTAATGGAATTCATGGAAGGGGTTAATATACTTTAATTGTTCATAAAATATTTTATGGCCATATGTGTCATTATTTTACACATCATAAATCAGCCTTTTAATTTATTAATTACTTTAGAGTTGTTTTAAATTAGCAGCTTACCATTTTTTTCTTAACTTCTATATTACTATATTTTTGTCGTTCTTTGGCAAGATGTTTAAATTTCACCAAGATGATAAATTAAAAAAAAAACTAAAATATGGAACTTTAGAAAAAGTTATAGTTTAAACACAACAAGCATTTTTAAATCTTAGTATGATTTAAAAACTTCAAAAATAAATAAAAAAAGTAAAAATAAGAGTTACTTTAAAATAAGAATTTTTTTTTTTTTTTTTTACGTTCACAAAGCCGTAGCGTAGTGGTCAAGCATTCAGACTCAGACCAATATTGCGACTTCAATTCCTGGCTTGGCACACAAATGTTTTCGGTAAGGTTGGAAATGGAGAACAAATATAATAAAGGCAATACTCCTTATGGCGGTGCTCTGTGATAAGACCATTAGGACTTCTTAGAGCACCTTATTAAAAAAAAATATATATATATATATATATATATATATATATATATATATATATATATATATATATATATATATATATATATATATATATATATATATATATGTATATATATATTTATATATATATATATATATATATATATATATATATATATATATATATATATATATATATATATATATATATATATATATATATATATATATATATATATATATATATATATATATATATATATATATATATATATATATATATATATATATATATATATATATATATATATATAGTTTTCTTCTGAACAAACCGTTTTTAATTTTTTTCAATTTAAACAAAAGCTAAATACTTTACTGTTAGTAATTGACCATAGCTAGAACTGTGTAAATAAAAAGTAAAATAATTTTACAACCAATCAAAACATCATCATTAATCACAAAATATAATTTTTTTTATTTTTTTTAAGTATTAAAATTTTTTTTTTGGCATATACCCCATATAGTGTGATGCCCAGGGCCAAATACCTTCATTGCCCATCCCTCTGGACGGCTCTGTTTATGACTTCAAAACACCTTCAAAATTATTTTTTTAAATGCAAAATTTGTGCTTTCAATAATAAGTAATATTTGTCAAAAATTGTTGCTGGGGGTAATATTTGTCTAATTTTTCTCAGCTTTTTCTAATTTTTTTACTTGTCTTATAATAATTATAGAAATCATGGAGAAAATATGAATTTCTAAATAAAGTTGTTTTTACTCCACCCTATTCTACACCCTGCATCAGCCATGCTTTTTGTTGTGGATCACTGGTAATTATGGTCATTAATTCTGAAATTAGTTTCACTCCTCTCTGCGGTATAGCTAACAACTATACCGAACAAACAAATTTCTCAGTTTTTGTGTAGCCTGGATGCTCTGTTCACTGGTGAATTGGTTTATCAAGCCAGTCTGTGTTGATACCAAGAATACAAAACAAAGTGTGGGATTTAAGTCCCAGAAGATTTGCCAAACCTATTTGACAAGTGATTTTACGAAAAAACCGGTTTCAAAGTCAAAAACTCACTGGAGTTTCCAAGAGTTTTGCAACCATCTCTAGTTTCACAGAGAATGAAACATGTTTACTGGTAAAGTAAATGGAACTACTTTTTCTGTCAAATACCATTGGTGATTGTTCATTTTTGAAAAAATAACATCAGCAACTTCCTTGTCTATTTAATTGAAATCCTTCATGTCACGAATGAGCTGCAGATCACTGAAAGGCGCATCAGCACCAAAGCTATTTTTTGTCCAAGCTGGTGTAGAAAAGTGAAAATTGATGTAAAGAGTTTTTTTTTATCATAATTGAGTTTATTCTTCAACATTTAACTTTCAACATCAAATTGGACAGAACATATTAGCACTTTATATATTAGAGTATATTAGGTCCAAATAAATATGTTAGGACCAGATATTTCATAAAAATAAAATCATCAAGTGAGATTTGCAAAAAAGAAAAAAAATGCATTAATTAGAAATATATAAGATATGCAATATTACAAAAACAAGAATTGGATTCATTTTCTTACATGCAGGTAAACTTTTTTTAGAATCTAAAGTTTTGCATTATAAAACTAATTTTTAAATAATCTAAAATTACTAGAAATTTTTATTATATTAAAACAGTTCCTACATGACCGATTTTAGCTTTGAAGTTGTGTCTTAAGGCTTTTCCCGCAACATTTACTGAGGCATTTCTGCTATTGCATTGCAAATTGAGACTCAATTGATGTTTAAAATAAAATAAATGAAAGTTCCAAGATATTCTATCCTAGGCAAAGGTTTTGCATCAAAATACTTTAATAAGGCAAATATTGTTTTATTTTTATATAAAATAGAATAATATTTGCCTTACTATAGTATTTTGATGCAAAACTTTTGCCTAGGATGGGATGTCTTGGAATTTGAGTATATACTTAAGTATTTAAGTATATAACTTTAGTATATAACTTAGTATAAACATGTTTTTTCATTTTATTTCAAGATACCATTGCTATTTTAACGACAGCAACCTTTTTTTATTTTTTCATTTGTTTCTGATTTAAAACAACACTATTGTTTTACACTACAATGTAAAATTTATGTCAAAAACTAAAAAAATTAGGATTGCTAAAAAAAATTAAACTTTTTATTAAGGCTATCAATAATAAGATATCATATTCAGAAGCTACTTTATGCGATAACATTCATAAAACAACTATTTTTTGCAGAACAAAAGGAAGAAATGGAGCTGCTGGTGTTGGTAAACCAATTGCAATAAGCCAAGTAACGGAGAGGCTTTTAGTTGAACTTGTACAGTTTATGAGTGATATTGGCTTCAGCATGAAAGGAAGTGATATTTTAAATGAGGTTGAAAACTATTTAAAGGAATCTTAACAAACTCATATATTCAATACCAGTAAACCTATTAGATTAATGGGGGAGCATTTGCTGAGGCTGCAACCAACCTGGTACTAATAACTGATTTTTCTGTTGTAGTTTTCAATATAAAAATACTTGTTGCTTGAAATGGTTTAATTCAGTGACGGTTCCAGTTTGTTTATAAATTTAAATGAAATTCAAAAGGCGAGCAGACCTATTTAACTTTAAGTGTGATTTTGTTCAGAATTAGGGAAATCTACTTAAACTACATAAAACTTTAGCAGAAATACTTTGCACATCTAGAAACTGTGGTGGTGAAGTTTTTTCAATTATTTGATCTCATACCATATTTTGTCTTCACAAGTTGGATATTTGAATTTGTTAATTCCTTTTATTATGTGGATACTTCACATTCATCTGAATCTGCATCTTTATCAAGTATCTGCCCACTGTAACGCTTATTATCATATTGAACAATACACCAGTTGTGCACTTTGAGCATAACAAGTTCAGTTGAAGTTGGATCTTCTTCGACATTTAAAGCACCATCAGCGTTTATCAGATCGTGTGGCTGACTAACTATTTGCCCATCTGCAACTATATGTACAATATCTGTTGCTGTATTGAACAGATAGGATTCAATCTCAGAAACATGTTCATTTTCATTTTCTGCGACCACTTTCAGCAGATCAATCTGAACCCTCCTTGTTTTATGGCAATTAGATGTGCTCAGAATATGGAAAAATTATGAGAAAGTATGAACAGAAATAGTTCACTTCTCAATGAATTGTAATTGATGTAGTTTCATTGTTCCTGCAATAGCTTTCACTCCTTTAGGGATCATTATATCTATAGCATCAATATCTTCTTCACTGGCTATAAATAGGTTGATATCAGTCTTCTGTTGTTAAGCTTCTACAAAATTTGAAGCTGAAGTTATAATAACACGGTTGTTTATTTGATCAGTGGTACATTTTAGAGTGTCTCTGATCACGTCTACTGTGCTCTTGCCATAGCCAGTTTCAAGGAAATTCCAGCTGCTGCCTGTATATACTTTATCGTACAAATAATGACAAGTTAACAGCATATGATGTTTGTTCCTATACTGTGTTGTTGGTTTATCACTCCAAAAATGTATTTTGTAAGTGTTGGATGATGCTCTTTAGATGATGCAGAACTGGCAGCAAATGAGCTTATATTGTATTAGGCTCATGCTTGGTGTAATCTGACACTGTGCAAAATGATACAATTTCTTCTTTCAAGTATGCAACACCGATGTGTATGGATAATTTTTTGTTGAATGTATTAAAGTGCAATGACTATACAGCTTGCTCTAACTTACAGATATAGCTTTCTGAAAAATCATTAGCTATTACTGCGGTGCTATCTGAATGGCTAGACTTCAGCAAGCATTAATTTTTAAACTGGTTGCTAATAATGAATACGAGAAGACATATTTTTTTGTGGTTTTTTAAAAAACCATTAAATTTAATTAGTTTCCTCAATAAAACTAATGCGTTTTGTTGTATTCTAACCTTAATTAGATTACAGCAAA